CTACTACGACTACTACGACTACGAGTACGACTACGACTACGACTACGATTACGACTACGACTACGACTACGACTACGACTACGACTACGACTACGACTACGACTACGACTGCGACGACGACGACTACTACTACGACTGCTGCTGCTACTGCTACTGCTACTCGTACATCAACAACAACAACAACAACAACTACTACTACTACTACTACTACTACTACGATGGTTTTACTGCTCCTGCTGCTGCTGCGTGTGCCACTTCTCCTACTCCTCGCTTTCGACGACGACGACAACGAATACAACGACAACCAGGACGACTTCTACTACCACTAAAGCCTCCAGCACTAGTGGTACGACGACTCCGAGTACTACGACTGCTACGACTGGCTGGACAGCCTTTGCGGTTGCTAGGATCACGATTTCTCATATGCAAAACAGTCCAACCCACAATGCCCAAGACTTCTCCCTATGACCTTTGCGCACCTCGCTTGTTCGTGGGCGGCTTAGTGGGTTAAAACGCTTGGGAAAACGGCTTACAGCAACAAAAACGTGCTTTAAAATTACTAGGGTTGAGGGCTCTTCACCACCATGCCTTTCATACTCATACATGCTCTCGCCCAAGGATATGTTTGTGACTTCCTGCGTGCCACTATCTACGCAGCAGACCCATTTGCGCTGGCTCTCGCCTTCCACGAGTTCCAGGACAGCTCGAGTCTCTTTCCAAATTTCCGAGCGTGAGCCTACGCATGCATCCTTGACGTGTCCTGAAGAAGCGCTTCAAGATCGTGCGAGTGAAGAACAAGTTTGCGAACGAGAAGCTGAAGACGGAGGCTGCCCCAGTAGTTATCAACTTGCAGGGCACTGTGTCCCATGATTTTTCAGGAGCGAACGAACATTCTCGTCAACTTCTGGGTTGAGACAGAAGACATGAAGCAGATCGGCGAAGTGCAGTTCCTCATGCAGGAGTACCTCACGGCCACGGGGCTGCACCGGAGGGATACATCAGTCTTGGCATGAGATCTCGACCATCGACCCGTGGCAATTCTGCATCTCCGCCTTAGAAGGTACTACTGTACTTTGTTCGAATTCGGCAACAGGACGCCCGGTGATGTGTCATGTACTCTTTGGGTGTCCACTTGGCCCCAAGATACAAGGCCTGCGGACCCCGATACAGGCAAGAGTTCAGTAATGTGTTACGGGTTGAACTAGACAGCTCTTCGAGTGGGGGTGGCCCTGCAGTGAAGCTGCACGTTTATGCATGGTTCCTTCAAAGCAGGGCGGGCTTGGCGATTGCAAGTGGTTGAGGCGAAGTCTATACAGCACATGTACTACGACGTGGCTCGGGCAAAGAGCGAGGACGAGCTCTTCGACAAGCCGATATTTGCCTAACGAGGCCATGCGTGCATGTTTGCATGTACTTCTGCCAGCTGTGGCTTATCGCGAAACTGCGAAACTCGGCATGGTTCCGTGGTGCTCAGGTCACGATTCTGAGGCTTCCGCGGCCGAGACCAGTTTCGCGGCCGAAAACAGGGCATGTCTGTCATGCCGACATGAGAATCAGGTCAGCGTTCAGGTGCATACGAGGTGAGCGGCCTCGCCAGAGTGCTTTGAGACTCCACACCGCCACTAAACCCGGCATGTACGGTTTGGCCACTCGGTTCTTGGCATAGCCTAGGTGTATGCGGACATGGTCTTTCTCTGGCTTCTTGCAGAGTTGAGGTACATAGAGTGGAAGATCGAATCTTGAGAGAAGCTGGTGTATCGCCTTTCCAGGCACTTGAGGTTAGAACTTAGGCGTTTTGCCGTTGGCTTAGTCTAAGCTTCATGAGGGCCTCTGACTAGGCCTAAAAGGCCACTAACCACTAACCTTGAAGTTCAGACTGTCGTCATAAGACTACCGACACGTGAGTGACTGTGATCGTTGGCATGCGCGGTTAGCCGGTGAGGTGTGTTTGCTCAAGACTGATGGATCGCAGCATTCTGGCTTCTTAGCTCTGCTGGTAGCTGGCCTGCGATGAGCTCGTTTCTCTGTGTCTGACCTATCCTTTCCCTTTGCCTCTTGTCCTGAAGAAATGTTCCTCACATTGGGCAGGGGCACGGGCCGGCTCGGGCAAGAATGGTGTTTAGAGCCAAGTGCGCCTCTCTGCATCCGTGGGAGTAGATACGCTTACTGCCAGAGTGCGTTTCTGCACCGACCAAGGATCTATGTACAATCTTATCCTCGGAGGCAGCAGCTTGTCTAGAGAGCTGACGACCCGAGGCCGAGAGTGCATGTGGGAAGGATGGTTCAAGTCGCGGCCCTGTGATGTCATGTCTTGGCATTGCACATCCCTGGTGGGGAGGCCATGCTATTCTGGCTCCTTCCGAGTGTGGTCTTGGCGTGGGCATACCGCGAGTCTAAGCAGCTTGCGGTGGAAACCGAAGACGACATGGATGATTCTCCTTCCACGACGCTCGCCTGTCACTTCATATTCATGGGTTTGCGGAGTGAGGTGCGACGGTTTTACCTTCCTGCCTCAAGGTCTCTTCTTTATGTTCAGGGGCCCGAGGGGTCTACAATGTCGAGTTCAGGGTCCAGGATTTTTGGGTTCTGGAGTTTGATCTTGCAGTCCCCTGGGGGTGTTCAGGATTACGGCTTCGCCTAAGAACTTCTCCAGCGTGCTGGCGTCCGTAGACGTGGACCGTGGAGCCCATTCGAGTGAAGCTGTTGGCAGGGGTGGCGTGGCTGGGTCTGGGGTTTGGCTTTCTCATGGCATTTGGGAGCCAGATGCAATCGGGCTTAGGGCCACAAGAACCGCAAAGCGGCAGAAGTCATGACCCCTTTCTTCGACGATGCAGCGTAACCTTTGGAATAGTACGTAATTGCACGGAGCCAAGGTGTAGACTGCGTCGCAGTGTGATCGGTTTGGATCGCATTGAACTCTTCGAGAGCCCTTCTGAGGTCTACCCACGCGTGTCCTTTACACTGCCACCCGGTGCCAAGCTGGAGTTGCAGGGTGAGCCGGGCACGAAGATTGGGGAGTTAGTTGTGTCGACGGCCAAGACCACCCCGCCGGGCGCCAGGCCTGGCATTGTGAACAGTTGGTAGGCGCTTTGCCACTTCTGTTTGGGTCTGGCCTAGCATGTAGTGTGTACCATTTAAGCCCGAAACGGCTCTTGGGCTTCATCCGAAACCCTCAACTCTGATCCGAATCGTCGATCTGCGCAACTACTCGTCAACCTGACCTGCTCTCGGGTTCACACTTGAGCTTACAGTTGGAAGCGATGGTTTAGGCTCCTCGCAGTCACGGGTGCACAGGCATGCACCAGATTATGCTGGATTGTAAAGACCACCAAAATTGTCCGAGCAGGGCACCAGGACTTGGGGCCAAGTTGCAACCCGCAAGGCCGAACGCAGCCGAGCTGATCCTGAAAACACTCCTACTGACGAGCGCAGTGTGCGAGGATGCGCTGGCATTGTCTTCTCTGGCACTGGTCGATGTGGCAGTGAAATTATTACGTCATCGTCTAGAAGCAACGGCAGCTCTCTCCATCACCAAATCACGTCTTGAGGAGACGTATCTTCTGTCTTCTAGATGCTCTTCAGCAGGCTTGCTCACAATCCAACGCTCAGTCCTGATGCACATACACGGCTGTGCTACGGAGGCAAAAGTCATCGACTCCACCATCAGGAGCGCAGAAGACAGCGAGAGAAGCACTCTTCGCACTGACAGTGCATTTATTTCGGGGTCGAAATTCGTTGCCTTTGACTCGGGCAGCCTTGTTCGTGACGTCCGCAAGCTTGGTGTCCTTGTCAGTTCGACCCTGGAAAGCACCAGAGTCCACACAGGTTGCAACTTTAGCATCAGCAACTCCACCATCTCCGGTGCCTACCATTTCAGCTTGAATGCAGCAGGTGCAGGTCGGTGCCACAAACGGGTTGAGACCTCGTATTTTGGTCGTTGTCCTGGATCCTGCATCGTTGGCTCCATGTACAATGCTTCCGTCTCTGTGCTGAACTCCTCCATGCAGACTGGGATGGAGTTTCGGGGTGCCGGTTTGCACATGGAGATGCGCGACCTGGACGTCTTCCATGTCCACTCCACATTCCTGGCCTGCTGTGGTGGTTGGGACACGTTAGGCCGGGTCTGGTAATCATATCAAAGCACTTTAGGAGCTTCTTGCCGCAAACCAGAGGTTTTAGCTGCATTCACAGTGAGATTGCAGGTCTCAAGACACTAGATGCGAGCATTTCCTTCCTGAGATTTCGGAACGTGTGGAATCCGGCCGGGCACTTAAAGCATCTTAAGGCTGGGCAGGTTTCCAATGTCACCATGAATCCACCAGCACCTCAGCGAAGGTCAGCATCCACGCGAACAACTGGACGCTGGCCATGCGCAACGTCACAATGGAACAGGTGACACTGGCAGGTTTGGTGGTGGAAGCCGAGGATGAGATGGGCCGCGGCGTTGCTCAACTTCACGATGTGTCCATGAGCAACATCCTTGGAGTCGGGTTAGTCCTGGACCAGACACTCGCAAACATCAGGGGCATGACTTGCAGAGCGTGCAACGTTGCAATCGAAGCCAGGGACTCTTCTCTTAGCATGACTGGCGTGGACATCCTGGGCCGGCACAAGCAAAGCAATGGCATCGTGCTTAAGTCGTCCCTTCTAGAAGCCAGCGACGTTTGCATGACAAATCTGGCTGCTGGCCTCTTGCTGAACTCTTCGACGGTACACCCGGAGGACACGTTCATCACAGACAATGCTGCTTGGATGCTCACGCATAGGGGTCAGGAGCTCAACAGCTCCGCTAGCTTGATCCGCTAATGAATTTTGACCCACCGGCTGCAATCGAGGCTTTGGGAGTCCTGCCAGTAAACACAACGGGAACTATCAATGGCTTCATCTACTTCAATGATGCAGCAGACGAGCTGTGCTCGGGCCATCCGTTGGTCTGTCCCAAAGTGGGGCACGAGGCCACGGCTATGCAGTTGCACTACGCAAAGGCCCTACTGCTCTCCTTGTTTGGCTGCATTTTTTGCCACCATCTCCGCCGTCCAGGGTCTCAAGCACTTCTATATCAAGAAGAAGGCCTAAGCTGTCCAGCTTTCAATTTCCCAAACAGTGTGGTCACACACTATGTGTGTGCCTGCGTTACGAGCAAACAGGGAGTGTTAAGTCTCACCACGCGGCTCTTGCATTGACTCTGCATAATGTATTGTAAAGGTTATTCTGGACTCATGAATCGAACTCCCTCCACCGCTCTATACGTAGCGTTTATCGGTCCTCGCTGGTCATGGTGCTCCCGTGCTCAATCTTGCTTTCAATTCGCTCGAACGTGATAGCATTCGAAGGGGTTTAGAGGCGCAGTTCAGCATTGTGCTCCCGCCCGAGTGCCGTGCGTGTTTTGGGTTGCGTATTTTATTGTGTCCCGGCCCAGTCTCACAATCGTGCTCTTGGCAGGGTTTTTCGCACAGTTTCGAGTGGGACTCGTGCTCCTCGTGCTCGTCTACGCTGGTACAGTCTTAGGCATTTGGGGCTTACAAGACTGTGACAAGGCTTGTCCTTCGAACTGGACACTTATCAGTTTGTGAGGCACTATCCAAGCGGATGTTCTTCTGGATGCTCGGATGCAGCCTGTGGCCCGTGGTGATGCTCGGCGCCGTAGACGTCCTATTGGTCACCCGGCGCGCGGTGCATGAACTGGAGGCGAAGCGACGCTTTAACGTGGAGCAGTCCACTGGCCCAGAGAGGAAGATGACGCCCGTCCGATCTTCCTTAGCCAGGTTGAGTCACTCCTTTCACTTTGAGGCTGGAGCTTTTGGCATTGTTATTATAAGGAACAGGCTTTGTTCAAAATCCTACGCCACAGCCCTGCTAAACATCCTATGCAGTCGTCAATAGTGTGAACATACCTGATGGATCACGATTGAACCCTCAACCGCCCGGCCAACTAGTACGCCACATCTGCATGCATCGGTACAGACAATGTAGTAACCAAGCGAGAGACAGTGACAGAGTAAAGGAGAGAGAGAGAGAGAGATATATATATATATATATATAATATTATTTCAATAACAGGCAGGACAATATCGGTGCGTATTTGCAACAATAACAACAACAGCAACCATATCCACAACAGCGGCGTGTAAAACAACGTGATAAAGCATGCAGCATCAGTCAGAGCTCCCTTCATGCGGCCAACCCCGAGGATGTGGCAGCTACTGATCCTGGTGGTTTGGTCGGCGAGTGGCACACTCTACGTCTTCTCCGATGTCTTTCTCAATCGATGCTTGGATGTTTTGGAGAATAAAAACTTCAGTCTCATCCCTCTAGACTGTGGGGATTCCATTACGTTTGCCATGTGACCGACATGCAATGGTGGTCTGGGGCACAGGATGTATCACCGTTCTCGCCATGTACCTTAGTTAACCTAAGTGCCAGTAGAAAGTGCGTTTGATGCACCTTAAGGACAGAGCTTGAGACACACCGGCGATTCCCAACGCCAGGGAGAGATGGATAAGCAGAAGGACATTGGTTGTCTTGGATGGGTGGCATGCATTGCGCAAAGGATCTGTGGTTTCAGGAATGTGGGTAATCATCTCTTTATGCCAGGCGCAACTGAAGAAGGAGCTGGACAACAAGGAACTGAGGAGCGACATGCAACGCCTACACCTCGACCTTTTTCATGCTCTGGATCGCTGCAAGACTCGTCAGATGCACATCCTGGAAACTTCTCACTTCCACTGTACCTCAGCCTCGATAGCTGCCCCGAATGTGAAGGCAAACCATACCCTAAACCCTAAACCCTAAACCCTACAGTGACTTTGTGCATCTCTTTGCATTGAGACAGGGCCAGCTAGTGGCTCCAAGGATGCACTTCGTAGTGGCAGGCGTTCAGGGTTTGGGGTTTAGGGTTTAGGGTTTAGGCACGCCACATTACATGCATGATGCGGACAGGCCGGTGCAAAAGACATCTTCCAGGCCGAGTTTGTTACTGTGCCTTCAAAGAATCGTATGTGGCAACCGACTCCATGTACTCGAGCCGTTGAGCTAACCCTAAGCTAAACTGTAGCAGCTTCAGCCCGCCGGCTCAGATGTCGGCTTGGACTTGAACTGTTGTGCCACCCTTGGACCGGCAGTGCATGCAAGACCGGGCAAAGGCAGAGATAAAGAAGCTGGACGGGTCGTATAAGAGACAGCGCGACGTCTACCAGGACACGGGGGCCAAGGTTGCGACACCATCTCATGCTTGTGGGGATTTCCGGATGCGCAGAGGCAGACAATAGTGGTGCGCGGATGAACAAGCTGGAGAAGCGGCCTGCTTTGACATGGGATGTGGTTCTTACGTTTGTGACTTGATGGGGGATCGATACATTGACTTGAGGGAGAAAGTGTGGAAAGCACATCCAAGGATTCCATCCCAAGATGGCGAGGCAGTCCAGCCACCTTTGGAAGAGCATTACTGCGACGGGGAGGAGGCTAAAACAGAAGTGGAGGCGGCTCCTCGCTCGAGCCTCCTTGGTAAGGTTTCAACTGCTCGACGACAAAAAGCTTGAACCGAACCCGTGCATAATTCCAGTCCAGCATGTTGCACAAACCGAAACCGCAAACCCCAACAGAGCCATCCAGAGCCCAAGCCCTGTCGGAGGCTGGAACCACCCGAAACCCTAAGTCCTGGTTGTTGCCGTGTTCTTCTTGAGTTTTGCGCTGCAGGATGGAAAGCTGCATGAGCTGCAGCACAAGAAGTCGCCAGTGGACGCCTTGTGGACATATGCCCATTGGCTGCGAGGGGACCTCAAAAAGTGCCTCGGATGTGAGGGTAGTTTCGGGCTCAGGATTTGTCACAAGACGACCAGGATGACGTCCACGACGCTGAAAACGACAGTGAATATTCACATAAAGCGGCAGTTATGATGACGAACATGGCGTTGTTGTTGATGATGATGATGATAGTGACACTGAAGACCTTTTTAATGGTGTTAACGGTGATCAGTCATGGGAAGATCAAGGCGGCAGTCATGATGATGATGGTGATGTTAGTGTTGCAGGCATTGGTCATGAACACGGTCATGACAAAGACGACGATGGCGATGATGACGGTAATGATGTAGATGAAAGTTTTGAGGATAAGAGTGACGATGATGAATGTGGGAATGAGGATGACGACTATGCTCGGGCTGCTGTTGGTTGGAGTGGTCGTGCTGTCAGAACCCATGCCGTTCTTGCGGCCACGACGCGGTTTGATGATGACATTGCTGTAACTAGTTTAGGTACTGTAGTCGCTCTCGGGACAATAACTTCTTTGCATTGTCTTCTTGTTGATACGTCTGTAGGGGATTTTTAGCATGGCAGCACATAGGTGCCTCTCTTGTTGGCACTTGGAGACTGCCGAAGTGTGAGCACTAAACCGCCTTGCCCACTGAGGCAGCTCAGCAAATTTGTTGCAGACTTGAACAAGAATGGGGTCAAGAAAGCTCGAGAGTTTGACGACAAGCTGCGGCTGGACATAGACTCGTAGTGCTATGCTTTAGGGCTCAGGCGAATTGGTGGTTGGCATGCAACGTAGGGCGGGTTCCAATCTAAAAGGTTCGTGCATCAAGTTGAATTATCCGAATTAGGCTTTGCCACGGCAACTTGCGGAGGATCCTTTGCGGTACCGGTTGCAGCGCGAAGATGGTGCTGAAGTTGGTCCCCACTTCGGGCTTCTAGTGGCCCCTGTCAAGAGCAAGGTCGGCAGAGAATCTTGCTAGGCCTCTCAAAAACCCACAGTGACGTGTGAACATGTTCAGCCAAACTGATCAGGAGCGCGCAATTGCGAAGATCAACACGGACTACCAGGAGGACTTGTGGGTTGCTGTCTGTACACAGGCATGTGACACGGCAAGATTTCTGAAGGATTTCGAGACGGGGAAGAAGAAAGAACTGCCACTGGCACGATGCTTTGCTTCCTTATGCACGACATGTAGTGTCTGGCCTACTGCTACTGCTACTACTACTACTACTACTACTACTACTACTACTACTACTACTACTACTGCTACTTTCCGCC